GCCGCGCACGGGAAGCTGCGGCGGGAGCGGGGGCTGCAGGCCGAGTATGAGACGCAAGTGAAAGGTGAGAGGGCGCGGGGCGCTCCCGTCCCAGTCCCCTGCGGAGACCCCGAAGGTTGTGGGGAGCCCAAAGCACCCCGCCACTGGCCCAGGGCCTCCTGCTCTCCCGCAGCGACCTCTGGAGCAGGGTGGAGGAGGGAGCCCCGAGCCCACTGCCCACGTCCCCGCGCCCCTTCGGCCTCAACCGCCTGCCAGTTCCCCTTCCTTCCTTGGGTCTCCCTGCTCCTCGACCAGGGACCAGTGGAGACCCTGGCAGCCTGAGGGAAGGGGGGACCGGATGCACCCAAGGTGACCCCAGAAAGGGGGCAGTCTAGCTACAGTGCAATTGACCACCTTAACTTTGCTGTGGGGGGGGGGCGGGTAAGGCAGTCAGAGTGAGTAGGGTGGCTCTGAAGCGAGGGCCGCTGTCTCTCCGTCAAGCTGATGAAGTGAATCTTGGCTTGAGAGATTCAACATGGCTGGCTTTGCAGCCTTCTGCAAGTAGACCTCTTTGGGTTAGGCTAAACACCCCTGTGCAAATCACATGCAAATCAACTTTGCAAATTCTTAGCTGACAGCTTCTGCGAGTCTTATTCAGGGTGTGGTAACTCTTGCAAGGAAAGAAGGCAGCATCCAAGCACCAGCAGTTCTCTAGTGCCTTCAGATGTCTGGCCTCCATATCACTCTGTTTTACCAATTACGGAAACAAGCTTGGAGAGGTACAGTGACTTACGTGTGGTCACACAGCACTACAGCTCCCAGGAGGTAGAATAAAATGGCCCTTGAAGTACCTTCCAACCCAGAGATGGAGATTCCAATATAATTAATTATTTAACACAAGCAATTTATACCAAAGCATGCCCACCCCAGCACCGCCCCCCTTCCCCACACACTGGGCAGCCTGGCATTCAGAGCCAGCTTGAGCTGACTGCACAGGGCAAGCCCAAGTGTGGCCTTCTTTATTTCTCAATGGAGATAATGGTCCCCATTCTGCTTCCCCCAAAATGTCATGAAGCCAAAGGACCTTGAAAACTCTTCACTCAGCAAATATGGGTCAGTTCATTCACACCGAACAATTGGACTTTTGAGTAAGACCATTTTTTAAGATGTTCCTTGCTTGCTCCAGGTCTCCAACATTTTTACCTCTACTCAACCATCCCACTCCCACCCCCCAAAATAACTTCCTACCATGCTAGAAAAACAGGGTCACTGTCTTGACACCCTAAATTCTGAAAGGTCAGCATAGTTGCGGTTTTGGAGGCCATCTTCTCTTCTGTTACGCTTGTCAGCAGAAGTGAGACTGAATGCCTGGCTCACAGGAAGTGCTGGCGGGCCTGAGGCCCAGCACAGCAGCTCAAGCCTTCATGGACTCTATCCCTCCTTTTGCCAAATGTTTTGCATACATCTGTTCTGTCCCAGGCCTTGGGAATACCCTCCTGGACAAGAGAGAACCAGTCCCTGCCCACATATGGCTCACAGGTCTAGTGGGGGACACATTAGCAAACAACCCATCACACTATTAATTTCAATTATAATAATAACCACTACGAAGGGAGAGCGCAGGGTGCCAAGAACGAGGGTGGGAAGAGGGCTGGACCTAGTCTGCGGGGAGGTCAGGAAAAGGTTCTCTGACAAGCTTGGGTCTGAGCTGAGATCTGAAACTCTACGATGGCACAGCCTAGAGTCTGGGGCCTAGGCACCAGCTCCCCAAGTTGAGAGGGCCACAAACTGCAATTCGTAAGTCTCCTACTTGACAGCAGCCAGTGCGCATGTCCAGATCCGGATCAGGGTACGGCTTGCAGTCAGCTTTCGCTGCTGGCACTGAAGAACAAACACAGGGCAGGCTCCAGAGGGAAGGTGAGGCGAGCTGGGTCATCTAATACCTTTATTGGAGTGAAATGAAATTTCCTTTTATCCAAAAAATGTTTCAGTAAAGACTCTGCTGATTTCGAGTGGCATTAGCACCCACCCCACCTGGCCCATGGAGCTGACGAGTCAGCCACTGGAGGCCGGCCTTGGTGGTTAGGAGACCCTTTCCATCTCTCTCACTTGGCATTGTGGGCCCTGCCCTGCTCTGTGTTGGTTTCACTGTCGGGAAGTCCCCTATCCTGGTCTCCCATACCCAGCCCATCACTGAGCCAGTCCAGTGGCGGGTGGGGGTGGAGGAGCTGGGGTGGGTGGGTGGTGATGCATGCAGCTGGGTCTGGGGCACCTGGAGTCAGGGCCCCAGACCCAGTCCCACCCAAACCTGGGGCTGAGCATAGGGAGGAGACATTCTCCAAGAGGAAATCAAAGGAGGAGATGGAGATGCTGGGCAGGCCAAGTCCACCGAGGCCCTGTGCCCCACATCCCCTGGGCAGTCACTGGCAGGACCGAGCTGTTCACAATGGAGTCCTTTTGAATAGCCACCCTGAGCCCTGCCTCCCAGGCTGGCTCCCTGGTCCGAGACCCTACAGTCTTTGCCTGGGCTTGTGCAGTAGCTGCCACCTGGGCTGCACATGGCAGCACAAGGCGGCCTGAAAACAAAGCTGGACCACATCGCTCTGCTGCCGTGACTCCCCTCCACCCGGAGTATAGCCAGTTCTCCCTGGACCACGGCACTCAGACTCCTCCCACCTGTCCCGGCACAGCCTGCTCCAGGCCTCCGTTCCAACCAATGTCACTTGTTCTCGACCGTGCTCCTCTAAAAGGGCTGCTCCTCGTCCCTCCTCCCACTCTGATCTCGCCTTGTGTATTCATCTTCTCAGCATCCAGTGCTCCTGGACGTTATAGTACATGTCGATCCACTTGCTCTCTGTCCCCCCATTCCCACCCCAGCTCCTGGAAGGCAGGCACTTGGTCAGCCCTCTATGCCACCATATCTGGAATGTGCCTGCCACAGGCTGGGTGTGTAATCAGCAGTCTGCTGAATGAAGAAATCGATTAATGTCCCTCCCTGGGGATGTGGGCAGAGATTAGTAAATGGGCAACCTGCTTGCCAGCAGCCAAGACAGTGTCTTATTTACTTGGGACCCTCAGTGCCCACCTGGGCACTCAGTTGGTGGCAGAAGTATTTTGAGCAGGTTGCTTAAGCTTGTCGGACAGGTGGTTTTTGCTTTAGGTCTATGGTGGGGAAGCGGCGTTGCCAAATCAAGACAGTGATAAGGTGTCAAAAGGCCAGCGGCGTGGGGCCCTGGGTGTGGCTCTCTGCGGGATATGGGGAAAGCACTAGGGTGGGGGTTGATTGGGGCTGGGACCTGGGGACAGAAGACACAGGCCAGCCCCCTCTGTGTCCCTTCACTTATCAGGCCCAATCAGCTCACCTGGCCACCAGCCCTCACTGTGGGACTGTGCTTTCCCCTGGGGCCTGAAGGCAGGACTCCCTGGCCACTGAGGCCATGAGTCCACTGCAGGCTTGGCAGAGCGCCATGGCAGCCTCAGCTCTGAGCAACCCAGGGTCCTGAGGACCTGAGGGGAAGGAAGTGGCAGGGGAAACTATTCGGGGGCTTTACAGGAACCAGGGAGGGACGGCAAGGCAAAGTAAAAGGCAGCTGGCTGGAGGTGCCTGTGGCCTTCCCAGAGCTGCCACGCCCCCTCTCGCTGGGGCGCCCTTCGCCATCCTCTTCGACCACTTGGGTCCGACCATTTCCCTTGAGTCTCAGCACAGAGGTCCCTTCCCCAGAAGCCTTAGCTGCGCCCAGAACTCCTTCCTGCTCTCCGCTCCAGCTCTTAGCCTAGGCCAGGCAGTAAGGAGCCCTCCGGCTGGCCGTGTAGGACAGGTGTCTTGTGCCTCTGCCTCGCCCAGCCCAGCTGGCCTGGCTGGCACGGGCAGGGCGTGCCGGCCGGGCCTGAGCTGTGGTCCCCCTGCAGAGATGCGCTGGCAGCTGGGCGAGCAGCTGCGCTGCCTGGAGGTGCAGGGCGAGCTGCGGCGGGAGCTGCTGCAGGAGCTGGCCGAGTTCATGCGGCGCCGTGCCGAGGTAGAGCTGGAGTACTCCCGGGGCCTGGACAAGCTGGCCGAGCGTTTCTGCAGCCGCGGCGGCCGCCTGGGGGGCAGCAGCCGGGAGCACCAGAGCTTCCGGTGGGTAACACCGCTGGCAGGAGGGCCATGGCAGGGCCCGAGGCGCCCACTCCCTGGGTCTGAGTGCCCCTCTGCCCCCAGGAAGGAGCCGTCCCTCCTGTCACCCTTGCATTGCTGGGCTGTGCTGCTGCAGCAGACGCGGCAGCAGAGCCGGGAGAGTGCGGCCCTCAGCGAGGTGCTGGCCGGGCCCCTGGCCCAGCGCCTGAGTCACATTGCAGAGGATGTGGGGCGCATCATCAAGAAGGTGGGGCTCTCGCCCTGGGCCTCGGGAGGTGTGGGAGGCTTCAGGATCCAGCGAGGGTAGCTCATGGGGGCTCGCTCCGGAGGTGGTGCAGTTGGGAGAACATGGGAGGCCAGGTGGGCATTGGGGACCCATGTGCCCCAAGATGGGGCTTGAGCTGGGTGGAGCCTTGAATGCCAAGTAGTGGCACGGGTGTTCCCAGGACCATGGCGGGTGCTGGCCTGGGGCAGTGCTGCGCTCACACTGCCCTCCACCTCTAGAGTAAGGATCTGGAGCAACAGCTGCAGGATGAGCTGCTGGAGGTGGTCTCAGAGCTGCAGACGGTGAGGAAGGGGCAGGGGAAGCGGGAACACCCCCAGTCCATCACATCTCCCCAAACCAGGCTCAAGGAAAATTGGGTGCCCAGCACCATGGGGAATGCCCCTTCTCTCTGGGCCTCAGGGACCTGCCCCAGGAACAGGGTGGTTAGGCTAAGTGCTCGTGTGGGATCGCCCAGCTGTCAGGTCCAAGTCCCAGATGGACCGGGTTGGAGGAGGGGTTGGCCTTGGCCGTGGCCTTCAGCAGGGCCGCCTTGCCTTGGGCCTCCCTGCAGGCCAGGAAGACGTACCAGGTGTACCATACGGAGAGCGTGAACGCTGAGGCCAAGCTCCGGGAAGCAGAGCGGCAGGAGGAGAAGCGGGCAGGCCGGAGCGCGCCACCCCCGACCGCGGCCGCCGACGCTGGGCCCCTCCGCAAGACCTCCCTCAAGAAGGCAGGGCGGCTGGTGGAGAAGGTGGGCCTGGAGCGGGCACCTCAGACGCATCCCTGCCGGCTCGGGGCCGTCTAACTGTCCGTCTTGGAAGGTTCTGCCTCCTGGCTTTTGTCTCTGAGGGTCCCCGGCCTTTACTGGGGCCTGTTGTATGGAGGGGGAAGGCAGGGTTGGGTTGGGGGACAGCCTATAAGTTTCAGAGGGGCGAGAAAACATTTAGGATGGGTGTTTAGGTGACGTGCGAGGAGAAAGGGCATTCAAGGTGGCCCTTGAAGAGAAATGCCAGGATGGAGGCACCGAGCTGGGTGGGGTGGGACTGGGGTTGCTGGCCTGGGACTCTGTGAGTCGGACAGAGAGGTGGGCATCCTGGAGTGTTCTTAAGGGGAATGATGGGGTTAGGTTGTGTTTGGGGAGGGTCTCCCTGGCTGCGGTACTTAGAGTGCCCTCCAGTGCTTCCCTGCAGCCAGCAGATTCTGTCACATGGCGCTCAACGGATCTGTCCCCTCCCTTCGGGCCGCTCCTTCCCCATCAACCCTGGCACTCCAAGAGGCTTGTGGCTGTATCACCCTTTGTGCCTTTGTGCTGCCATTGTCCTGCCTGGGATGGCCCTTCCAGTCCCTTCTTACCTGACACAAACTTTCTCCTCTGTGAAATGTCCCTGCTGGATCCAAGCAGAGTTCCTGGTGCATCCCCTAGGTCCCTTCGCTCTGGCTCCCACCTCCCCTGTGGGGGCCGTGCCATGCGCGCTCTTTACTTACCAGGTATCTAGTCCTGTGTTGCCACCTCTTCTGTGAGGAATGACACTGAGGAACGTTAGGGGCTTGAACCAAGGCAAGAGGTGGATACTCAGAAGGCAGGACAGCTGGCAGGAGGACTGACCCTTGTGGGAGGACTCGAAGTGGCGGGTGAAGAGTTGGGAGTTGTCAGGCTCCAGGGGCTTGGCTGGGCACCTGGTGGATGGTAGGGCCCAGCGCTGAGATGACAGCGTCTGTGCAGAGCAAGGTGAGGTGGGGAAGGCGGTGGGGCTTCCGGGCCACATTGACTTTAAGGGGCCTGTGGGACATCACGTGTAGTCTGTCCACAGGGGGAGGGCAGCAGAGAGGTGGGAGTTACATGGAAGGCCAGAGATGGGGGCTGGCCAGCTGAGTGGGTGACGCTGGTGCACTTTTGTGGTCCTGAGCAGCGTCAGGCCAAGTTCTTAGAACACAAACTCAAGTGCACGAAGGCACGCAATGAGTACCTGCTCAGCCTGGCCAGCGTCAATGCCGCCGTCAGCAACTACTACCTGCACGACGTCTTGGACCTCATGGATGTAAGTCCTGCTGGGCGAGTGGGGATGGGTGCCCGGTGCACCAGGGCTCAGGGGCCACGGTGCAAGGGGCTCCCCCGAGCTGTCTCCTTGCTTCCTCCCCAGTGCTGTGACACAGGGTTCCACCTGGCCCTGGGGCAGGTGCTCCGGAGCTACACAGCCGCAGAGAGCCGCACCCAAGCCTCCCAGATGCAGGGCCTGGGCAGCCTGAAAGAGGCTGTGGAGGCCCTGGATCCTCCAGGGGACAAGGCCAAGGTGCTCGAGGTGCACGCAACGGCCTTCTGTCCCCCACTGCGTTTTGACTACCAGCCCCATGAGGGGGATGAGGTGAGGGTCACTCTGCTACTCTTCATGCCCTAAGCACAGTTGCAAAGGGCTTTGCATCCTCGGGTCTCCGTTATGATGGTAGGCATGACCCCCTTGCTAAGGAACAGAGACTGCAGCCAGTTGTTCGTGCTCCGGGGCCGCAGGGCAGATGTGGCTCACTGGAAGCCTCTGTACTTCCATGGCGGTGCGAGCACCCCCATGGTGCCAAGGTAGCAAACAGGCTAACTGTGCCAGCTTTCTAGGTACTGATCCTAGCACATGCCCATTGCCATGACCTTATGCTACCTTGCGCCACACTCCTGGACGGAACCGTACCCGTCCTCCCTGCGCGGTCCTCCACACCAGGCACTCTGGTAACCCTGTCTTCCCCCAGGAGACCCCCAGTCTAGACTGCTGGACTTCTAGGCCCCCTGCCAAGCTGCTAGCCCGGAGCCCCCTTCCCCATCACCCCGAGCAATCTTGCTGTTGCTCCTCATTTGGACCCTCTGGTTCCTGGACCCCATGTCTGCGTCTGTCTTGGTTCATTACCTTCCTTTTGGTTGGCACCTTCCCCAGGAGTTTCCTGACTTTGCACGTCTGTGAATGTGTGTATTCCACCCTTGCAATTGATCGGTAATTTGGCCTTTAGGATGTTAGAGGCATTGCCTTTGAGCTTCAGGATCGTCGGTGAGAAGTCTAGTGCCATTCCAGTCTCTGAGCCTTTGCACATGACCTGGAGCTTTGGGGATGGTCTGTTCCTCCCTCATCAAATGTCATGATGCTCTGCCTCGGGGGCCTTTTTCTCTCCATGGTGCTGGGTAACCAGTGGGCCTGGTCCGTCTGGAAAGTTGTGTTCTGAGGTTTGGGGCTGGTAATTTTCTTTTGATAATTTCCTTTTCTCTCTCTTTCAGGAATCCTTGTTATGGGATTTGGATCTCATGGGTTGATTCTGTAATTTCCTTCTCTTTTCTCTTTCCTATTTCCCATCATCACACCTTTTAATTCTGCTTTTTTAGAGATTTCTTCAGCTATCTCTTTCAACCCCTTGTTGTATTAAAAATAAATTGTATTCTCGTATTTTTTTGGTTTATAAGAGTTGTGTTTACTTTTCTGAATTCGTGTTTCAAATAACCCTTTCCTCTTGTTTCATAGATACAGTATCTCCTCAGATCTTTCCAAAATGCTCATTTTTATTTTCTCAATGTGTCCCTCTCTTCCCTGCACTTGCTCTGTTTTATTGCAGCTTTTTTTTTTTTTTTTTTTTTTTTTTTTTTTTTTTTTTTTTTTTTTTTTTTTTTTTTTTTTTTTTTTTTTTTTTTTTTTTTTTTTTTTTTTTTTTTTTTTTTTTTTTTTTTTTGGCTGCTGGCCAGTGTGGGGATCTGAACCCATGACCTTAGTGCTGTAAGGCTGCGGTCTAGCCAACTGAGCTGAGTGGCCAGCCCCACTTCTTGTGGTTTTTTTTAGAAAACCTTGCTTTGGTCTCTGTCTTCCATTTTAGAGCTTCCTGCAAATGTCTGGTGACTCTTGGCTGTAAGGTCATATTTAAGAAGAGGCACTGAGGGGCAGATTAGATACTTCATGGGCGTGAGCAGAGCTTGTCAGCAGTGGGTGCCCGCAGTGTGGCCAGGCAGGGACTCAGCTCTTTTGTTGGGGGGACCCCCAAATGTTGGCCTCTGTCGGTCTTTCCTCCTGGCCTTGCTGGCTTCTCCAGGGGGAGCTCTTCTGACCCTCTGTCTGGGGAGAGAGGGCTGAAAAGGCTGGGAGCTCACTCTGTGGTGTATGGATCTTTCTTGAAGCCACAGCCCATCAGGAATGCCCCAGTGATTGCTCAGTTTGAGCTTCTTGCTCACTGCTGCGGGGGAGACCTACCCTGTGGGAAACTGTTGGGCATGTCAGTGACGGAGTGTTAGAAGGGACTTATAGGACTTGGGCTTGTGCTGGGGGATCATGGGGAGGGTCCAAGGAAGTGGGGCTTGGCTCTGGGTTGGATGCTGTTAGGAAGCAGGAGTAGCTGTGGTCACTCACAGTAGCCGGGATAGAGAGAGGTTTTTGTGTCTTGCACAAAGTTCTTGTTTTTGTCTGTGCTCAGACGTGATGACTGGTTTCTGTCTTCACCCATCATGGTCACAGAGCGGCCTTCCCTGACGTTGATGCTCTGTGACATTGCCTGTGTTCAACAGGGCGTCAAGGCCAGGCTGGCAGGGCCAGGCCAGCCCCAGATGGTGGGGCAGCTATACTGTCTCATCGGTTTGGACTTTCATCCCCTGCTTCAGCTGTGACTCGTGTCCCTGAGTCCAAAAATCCCTGTTTTAGCCTTTCCAGAGAGTAAATCTAGTTTTCTGCTAATTCTGTGGGTTTCTCAGGGTTCCCTAGGGCCTAAATGGACTTTTAAAAAAAAATTGTGGTAAAATACACGTAGCAGAAAATACAGCGCTAGCCATGTTTAAGTGCACAGCTCGGTGGCATGAAGCACGTTCACAGTGTTGTGCCACCATCACCGCCATCCACCTCCAGAACCTGTTCATCTTCCCACACTGAACCTCTGTCCCCATGAAAGTGACTCCCCAGCGCCTCCCCAGCCCCTGGCACCCACCGCTCTACTGTGTGTGTGTCTGTGAATCTGACTACTCTAGGGGCCTCACATAAGAGGAGCCATACAGGATTTGTCCTTTTGTGACTGGCTTCTTTCACTGGGCAGTGTCCTCAGGGTCATCCGTGCCATAGCGTGTGTCAGGGTTCCCTCCCTTTTTGTTCCCGTGACCTGTGCCTTCTTGTGTTCCTCTTTTTCTTTACGGCGGGGCTTGTACAGCCTGCCTCGGAGAAGTTAAGCCTCCCTCTCAGCTTTCACTTAATGGTCACTGTAATGTCAGCTTTCTAGATGTTTCTATGTTTAAAAGAGAGGAGCTCGTCACTGGCTAACGCACTCTTCTCCCACCCCACTCTGCGCAGGAGGCAGGGCGCTGCCATGTTGCCCGCGGGACATCTATTTCTGTGCAATTAGAGTGAGCAATCTTTTTGTCTTCTTTCCCCAGGAGAGGTTTGGCTAGACCCTCCCTCTTCTGTCTCAGACCCCGGCTCACCTATCAGATAAGTCACCCATTTAAAGTGTACAATTCAGTGGCTCTTAGGATATTCACACACTTGTGCAACCATCACCAGTGTCTACTTGCAGAACATCCCCATCACCCCAAAAAGAGACTGTACCCATTCGCTGTCACTCCCCAGCCCACTCGGCTCAGTTTCTGTCTCTGCGGGTTTGCCTGTTGTGGACATTTTATGTACATGGAATCATGTACTCTGTGGCCTTCTGTGACTGGCTTCTTCCACTGAGCATGATGTCCTCAGGGTCCATCCACGTCGTAGTGCGGATCAGTACTTCATTCCTGTTTGTGGCTGAATAATATTCCATTGCGTGGACATGCCACGTTGTGTTTATTCATTCATCTGTTGGTGGACACTTGGGTTATTCCCACCTTGGGACCATTATGGGCAAGGCTGCCATGAACATTCATGGGCGAGTCTTGGTGTGGACGTGCGTGTTCATTTCTCTTGGGAGACGCCCTCGCATTCTTCAGTTTACGTGTCAGATCTGGTGGCCCTGTACTCAGCCACCAGGCGGCGGGAATGTGCTTGCTTCCCTCACGCCCTGGAGGTCTCGGCACCCGCAGCCATCCCCATGCCCACCCCCAGATGCTGTCCTTCTGCAGGTGGCTGAGGTCCGGGTGGAGATGGAGCTACGGGATGAGATTCTGCCCAGAGCTCAGAATATCCAGAGCCGCCTGGACCGACAGACCATCGAGACAGAGGAGGTATGGGCGGCCTGGCTTGACGTGGGGACAGGGACCTCCTGAAGTCTCTAGAGCCCTCTCTGGGAAGCAGCAGTGGCCTCCTCTCCCCCTTCCTTCTGACCTGGGCTTTCTGTACCCACCTCATTCCCCACTTCTTACCACTCTGGTGCCATCCCCTCCCCAGGTGAACAAGACACTGAAGGCAACATTGCAGGCCCTGCTGGAGGTGGTGGCATCGGATGATGGGGACGTACTTGACTCCTTCCAGACCAGCCCCTCCACCGACTCGCTCAAGTCCACCAGCTCAGACCCAGGCACCCGGCAGGGGGGCCGGAGGCGGGGCCAGCAGCAGGAGACTGAGACCTTCTACATCTCGGTGGGGACACGTGGGTGGGGCGGAGGGGCAGGGGGCAGGGCAGAGCCGGGGCTCAAACTCTGGGCTCCTCTTGGGCTTTCCAGAAGCTCCAGGAGTATCTGAATGGACGGAGCATCCTTGCCAAGCTGCAGGCCAAGCTCGAGAAGCTGCAGGAGGCCATACAACGAGGTGGGCCCTGGTCCCAGTCCCCCACCCCTTCCTTGCCACCCCCAGGGCCAGGAGCTGCACCTGCCCCTCCTCTCCTGCCTGGGGACCCCTTACGCAGCCCATGTTCCTCCCCGCCTGGAGAGGTTGGCTGGCATGGAGGGACTAACCCAGCAAGGGGCCTGGCCTCTCTCCTGCCCTTGGCCCTTCTGCTGCCCTGAGCCTTCAGGCCGTGCCTTTCTCTCTGGGGTGTATTGAAGATCCCGGCCTGGAGGCAGACCAGCGTTTTCTCCTCTCCAGGTGACAAGGAGGAGCAGGAGATGTCTTGGTGAGTCCTTATGAGGTGCCGGCTTGTTCCCAGCAGCTGGGCTCTGTGAAAATCCCCCCACCTCCTCTTTCCTTGAGGCAGCTCTGCTGCCCATCCCCCGTGGCCTCGATTTCCCAGTTTGCCCAGTGGATTCTGGAATAACTCGAGAGGTCTGGGGCATGGCTTCACTGGGCTGGGGTGGGGGCATCCTATTCTGCACGCTCGCTCCCCCAGAGCCAGCTCCCGTTCACTGCAGGACCCAGTACACACAGAGAAAAGTCCAGAAGAGCCGCCAGCCCCGCCCCAGCTCCCAGTATAACCAGAGGCTCTTTGGGGGAGACATGGACAAGTTTATCCAGGTACTCACTTTGCCCAGCACTCCACCTGATTGCAAGCTCGCCCTGTTCACTCTGGTCTTTCTCCAGCCCTGGGCCACCTCTGTGGCCCAAGAGGCTGCCTGATCCCAGTGTCCTCCATTCCTGACCACTGGTGAACTGTCACTTCCTGGGTGGGCCTTTTGCAGGACTTCGCTGGGCTCCCCTATGGCCTGCACCAATTGGGGCAGCAGTGTTTTTAGGGGTGAGATGTTGGGAGCTTTCTACCTGTGACTGGGACCAACACAGATGCCCACAAGCCCCACTTGCGGCCAGTGTGGCAGTGGGGGTTCGAGGCAGTGAGACAAGGGAGGGTTTGGGTTAGGGTTTGCGGTCATCGACCGACTTTTGTTTCTTCAGACTTTGTGTCCTATCGACAGACTATTTCAATGAACACATTTGAGTTTTGAAATGTTACTTGATTCAAATAGTTTGCAAATGAAATGTAAGGCACTCCCTGAAACAGCGTCAGAAATATCAGACTCCTAGGACTGAATCTAATAAGCTGTGGGCTAGGCCTCGATGCTGACAACGATAGCGCATTGTTCAGAGAAAGTAGCAGCAACCGAGTGACAAGATGAGACATGCCGTGTCCGACACCCTCTCTGTCCTCAGAGCTCAGGCCAGCCCGTGCCCCTGGTGGTGGAGAGCTGCGTTCGTTTCATTAACCTCCAGGGTAAGCGAGGCCCAGCCCTCCTGCTGCCCTGGCCCACAGCACCTGGTCCCGGGCACCTGGCATGGGGGCCAGCCCAGGAGGAGGGGGAGGGCGCTGGGTGCCCACTAGCTCCCTGTCCTCCCGCAGGCCTACAGCACGAGGGCATCTTCCGAGTATCGGGTGCCCAGCCCCGGGTCTCAGAGATCCGCGAAGCCTTCGAGAGAGGTGGGGACGGGCAGGTCGGGTTGGGCATGGGGGCTTGAGCAGGTGCAATGCACCCTCCTCACCCTGTTGTGCCACCTGCTGCAGGGGAGGATCCCCTGGTGGAAGGCTGCAGTGCCCGTGACCTGGACTCGGTGGCTGGGGTGCTGAAGCTCTACTTCAGGAGCCTGGAGCCCCCGCTCTTTCCCCCCGACCTGTTTGGCGAGCTGCTGGCTTCTGCAGGTGAGGCCGGGGCCTGAGGCTGGGCAGATGGGAGGGCCACCGGCTGGTGGCGGTGGCCTCCCTCATGCAGTTCTCTCTGGGGGGCGGCCCTGGCCACAGAGCTGGAGGCTGTGGCAGAGCGGGTGGAGCATGTGAGCCGCCTGCTGGCCCGGCTGCCCGGATCGGTGCTCGTGGTCCTGCGCTACCTTTTCGCCTTCCTCAACCAGTGAGTGCCTCTTGGGGGGCGAGCTGGCGGGGGCAGTGGAGGGGACAGGGGTGTGGGACTCCCTCCTGTGACCCGCATGTTCCCCCAGCCTGGCCCAGTACAGTGATGAGAACATGATGGATCCCTACAACCTGGCCGTGTGCTTCGGGCCGACCCTGCTGCCTGTGCCCGCTGGGCAGGACCCAGTGGCCTTGCAGGGCCGAGTGAACCAGCTGGTGCAGACGCTCATCCTGCATCCTGTGCAGGTTTTCCCGCCCCTGACCGTGCTGCCAGGTCCCATCTATGAGAAGTGCATGGCACCACCTTCCGCCAGCTGCCTGGGGTACACTCTCGGTGCTGCCGGGGGGGTCCGGTGGGGGGGACCCTCATCCTGCTCACCCTGCTGTGAATCTCAGGGACGCCCATCTGGAGAGCCTAGCGGGGGAGATCGAACCGGAGCTGGAAGCTGGGACCCCGGCCCAGGAGGATGGTGAGGTGGATGGCAGGAGGGCCCCACCCTGTCCCCACCCTGGCTGCCCACCCCACCCCCACTCGGACCCCCTGTTCCCCCCAGACCTGGAGGGGGTCACGGAGGCCGTGGCCTGCTTTGCCTACACGGGCCGCACGGCCCAGGAGCTGACGTTCCAGCGGGGGGACGTGCTGCGGCTGCACGAGCGCGCCTCCAGCGCCCGGGGGCGGGGGGTATGTCACCGCGA